CCCCGCCAAAAAAAATCCAAAAAAAATACAAAATGAATTAAACTATGGTCATTTTTGGTCAGTAATGAATAATTCCATCATGAGACATTAAAATTATTGAGAGAAATTCATATAAAGATTTTTTTGTTGACTTAGCATTGTATTGAAGTTCATCTATAATTTTCATATATTGAACCAAGATGATTGATATTGAAATTGAGTTTTTATAAAAATATGATAGATAATTCAAACAAATATTCTATTTTTATTTGGAGCGAGGGCTTGATAAGGCCTTGTGAGCGAACACATCTTCGTATAATAAGGTGGAGACAGAACTTGTTCCATCAGCAGCTTCGATTTTTCTTGGCCCTTTTGCCAAACTTCTTCCTTGAGAGTGCCTTTGGATCTTCTAAATAATTCACGGCCTCATTAATTTTTGTAATATACAAAAAAGTGCTTTTGTATTTGGAATTCCTAGCGGCTTTTGAGGTGGGATACTGAAGTGGCTTCAAAACAAAATGACGTTTCAATGCGGCAATTCCCCAATACGACCTATTTCCGCAAAAATTTCGCATTTATAACTCAACAAGATAAGCCATGGAGCTTGTAAAGCACATAGGAGATTGGTTTTCCATCCCATCCGAGTGGAAGGCTTTCGGATTAACGAATTGCTCTTCCATCTTGCGTAATATTTTCCTTCAAAAGTAATTGGGAGATACTAAATCACGTTCAGCTTCAATTGTTGCAGCTGTTACTGTTTGTTTTACGTTTTGGTATTTTTCGATTGTGGCCTCTAAAACTGACTTTAATATCTGTAAAAGCTGAATTTTGCGAGGAAAAACTATTCTGTTCAACAAGCTCTGTTTGCGTTCAGTCCTCATTCTGACAACTTCTTCGAGTCCTCCTGAGTGTTTTTCATCTTCTGGACCTTGCGAAGGTGACTTTTTTTCTGTTTGAGGACTTTGAACCTTTCTTTCTGTCTTTTAGATCGCGATTACAGTACTCGCAGTAGAAATTTTTGTTTGGGATTTTTTTATCTGCATAGTTTTATTAAATTTGATTTATAATATTTTCGACATTTTCCGTCAATGGGAAGAATGGTTGTTATCTTTCCAGAAATCCCTGAGATCAAGAAACTAAATTTTGAATGTGAATTTCTCTGTTTTGTTCTGATTTTGGTAATTTGAAAAATCATTCGATTTTTGAAGGATTTCCAAGAATTCTAAGTATGAAATTTTTGAATGTTTTTGTAATGTTTATGTACTGCGAATGTAGCTCGTTTTAAGTCCAGGAACATGCCCATAAGCATTCTTCTCCGGAAAATTTTTTCAAAGCTTCTCAGTTTCACTGATAACTGTTTTCTTTTTCTTCTTGTTCTTTTTCTTTCTTTTTTCCTCCTGGAATTGGCGACGCATTCTGGAATTCTAGCGTTATCACTAAAATAAATCTTTAGATGTGGAGAATACCTTGAAATATCGTAAATAATATCTTTCATAGTCTTTCCAGAAGTCCTTTATCTTCTTTTTCTTCTTTAACAGCTGCAACTGGTTTGTCGACAAACTTGAGAATGAAAAAGTTTATTCTTCTTTCAAGAGCTTGATTAAAGCTTTCAAGAGGGATTTTGCCACTTTTTTATATTCCGTTGTTGTGTTGATAACATCAAGAATTGATTACTGAGTTCTTGTATTTTTCTTTGCATATTTAATGCAATACGTAATTGTGAATAGGCCTTCTTCTTTGACTGTTTTGGGTTCAATGAAGTAAGAGTTTTGGTTGCTTGTTTTCTTTTTATCTTTCGATGTCTTGATATGAATTGGCGTAATTTCCCCAGGAGGATGTTGACGCATTTGATATTTTTGAATATTTTTTTTGGATTTTGATGATGCATATATGTTTGTCCTATCTATTAAAATTCAAATTTTTTCATTTTTCAAAAAACATCAACAAAACAATTTAGAAAAAAAATTTAGTCAAAAAAAGAAAAACAAAAAATTTTTGGAAAGGGAAAACATGTAAATATTGATTTATTTATATCAGCGGATTAATCAGTATAATAGAAAATAAATATAATTATTACAAAAACTATCTTCTAATATTTATTTTATTAATTTTAAATAATTTTTATTACAAAAATTCAAAAAAAATTATTAACATTTACATTTTATTATTCTGTATAAAAAAGAAAAATATGCTTTATATGTCGTAGAAGGGGAAAATTGACAAGAATTTTTATTGAGTCCTTAGCTGGGATACTCCTTAACGCATTCTTCGAGAAGAGTCGAGTGCGTGCTGGAGTTCCTCTTTGTATGGATTGAGTAATGCCAAATCTGAATATCTGACCCTGAGAGAATATTCCAAGCAGGGAAAAAAACGGACGACTAAGCCGAGGCCGGATGTTCGAAAAAGCCTTACGAGAACTCTGTGAAGTAAAGGAGAAAGGGTGAATGATGATTGGGACCGACTTGGAGACTTTATCTTCAACTGAGAACTTTGAAAGTTGCGTCTTTGATTCTTCTCTGAAACATGTAGCGTTTTCGTGGAGCTGGAGATTCTCTTCTTTCCTTCTTCGTTCTCCATAAGGACCTTGATGACAGGACATTGCCTCTGGGCACTGGAACTGCATGGCATCAGCGTGATGTTGGCGGAATGAGTTATAATCTAGGTAGTTTTTGATCCATTTGCTTTGAACCGGCGATGTAGCCACCAGCGCGCCAAAGGGACTTTGTGAAGGTGCCCATGAGGAAAATCAACATCTTTGGATTAACACCAAGATGTTCTGTTAACACCGACGACCTGTATCTACCCATGCAACCTGATGGAAGTGAGCTTCATCGAGCCATATGTAGAACTTGTTACTGCTTCTTGAGTGCGACAATTTCACGAGTTGCCATGTTTCACCTTCCATTTGAGGTAGATACCTTCGCAATAACAAGGATCTTGCCCATTGGTTTGATGTGTTTCTGGCTGGCCACGGGGAGATGCTGGATCTGAGAAGTTGCTCAGAGGTTTTCCAATATCGTTTTGTTTGAAAACGCGGACAGCAGCGCAGAAAGCACGTAGCACCTGTAATAATTGAGTTGTGTGTTAAGAGCATCGAGAAATGATGAGGTCGCCCTTCTTCATGAAGCTGGAATAACTGTTAAGCAGTTTTGTAGCCCAACCCATACAAAGGAAATTGCATTCTTCTGTACCAGGAATTTAGGCAATGATTTCTTCGAATTCCTTTGTGGATCTGTGTGTACCGGCTTTCAACACGGGATGATATGGTGGCTGGACCGTTACTTTGGTCAAGTACTTGCTTAACAACTGCGTGGTGCAATATTCATTCCTGGATCGCCAAGCCCAAGGTAGTTATTAGGAAACCAAGTTCATGATTCTGCGGTGTTTCACCTGTGGAAGAACTGGTTTTGGGCGAGGTCTCGGCCTTTCTTTGCAACCTGACGTCTCCATGAAGGCACGCCAGCATTGGAATGTAAACAACACGGAGCAGCATCATCAATTTCTGTGGGTAGTAACGCGGGTGAAGAAAATCAGCGAAGTCGTTGAAAATTGGACATAACCTTTTTGGTGCTGGTTTGCCGGCCTTTGCCCGGTTCTCCTGTCAATCAATCCTCTGACAATACCTGTATAAAACAGATGACGTAGTTCCAATAATGCGAAGAACTGAAGTTCGATCTCACGAAGCTCAGGTAACAATTTGAATATTATAATCAGGTCGAATTTCAATAGTTTACATTACTATCTTTTCAATGGAGAAATTTTTCTGAATTGACCATAAATTCATTCGCAAACATTACAGTACTGTAAACAAAAGCTTGAAAATAGTCAAGATTCAAAAATTTAACGATCGGATTCAAGGCCAAAGCATATTCAAAATTAGATTCACTTTACAAATGTTTCAATTTTTAAAAATCCAAATACGATTAAAATAAAAATCAAAAAAGATTGCCACCGCCCGGGAATCGAACCCGGACCCCCACCTTGGCAAGGTGAAATTCTAACGACCATTAACCAGCGGTGCTCAACAAATTTCAAATTCAATTAT